TCATAAATGATTTTCCTAAATTTTGCGGACTCGATTATGCGTGAGACTCTACTTGGCGTGCGAGAAGTCACGAATACTTTTGGTCGATACGAAGACTTTTGAACACCTGGATTTTGCGCCAAATTTATGCTGAATATGAAACAAACTCGAAGAATTTCAGGCATAAACCAAGAAATTGGCAGAAGAGGATTGCAACGAAGAGAGGACTCTTGGTAAACATAAAGGAGACGGAGGTGATAAAGATACCCATGCACCAACAACAACCATTACCGATAGCCATCAGTGGCAGAAATATGAAAGAGGCTGGCTCCTTCACTTATCTTGGCAGCCAGCATCGTTTCAACTACGGGCAGTCGGAGCGTATGAAGACTTAAAATCCAGTCGAGAACCTATCACTCAACATATATGTAGAAGAAAATGTAGATGGACTTGACAGACGATTAGGAGGCAATCCAGTGATACCGCACTCACTGCCGCCCATCGCCTGAGTGGAACCCAGTTGGACAACGACGAGTCGGGCATGCGTCTGAGACTTACATCAAGGAGATCATGTGACTGAGAGGAGATGAGAGACCACGGGCAATCTTAGAGCCAGCCAACTAAAGACGACAGCAAAAAATAGAAAAAAGTGGGGATAATGAAGCTTTTCAATCCCTATATCCCACAAGGAATCAAAGACAACAATATTATAAAAATGAAGAGTATGATAGTTCCCTTCTTTCCTTACTAACGTCATTTTTGTGAAAAAGAAAGTGTATAAATGAAGCTGTACATTTATAGAAAATGAAATTGCCAAAAAGACCTTTCTTGAAACTACTGGTCTCCATTTTTTTCATGGATTAATGCTTAATGAATAGGGATTATCTGCAAAGACATTCCCAGCACAACCAATTTTGAATGGGCGTTGTCTTTTTGATAATGTAGCTTAGTAGTAGCTTCGGTATTCTACTTGCAGCTGGTATGTTGAAAATCTGAATAAATTGTTCTCAGTCCAACAAGCTTTCAAAAATTACGTATGTATATCAAGGATAAATTCATTCAAGTGTTTATACAACCTAGGCAATCGTGTACGTGTTAGTATAGATAGAATGTTTATACTAACTAGTACGGGTAGAGTGGAAGATAATTATTGTCACACAGTGACTAGATAATATAATAATAATGAAAATAATAAATCGTGAAACTGAGATTAAAATGTACAACTACAGCACACCATGATATTGATAATACAGTTAGCATTACAAATAAACAGAATAATAAGATAATATTTACAGTTATCCAGTGTCACCGAGAGAGATAACTATTTTAAGTTGGGAGTGAAGTTGGTTGGTCAAGGGAGGGAGAGAGACTGAACAAACGTTTCCTGAGCACAGAGATTGGGTTGAAAATTTCGTCTTATGGCAACTGCCTCCGCCATCTCTGCTTAGAAACCGAAGACGTACCAACCTACCTAGGGAGTTGAAGTAGCGCCTTGTATAGATCATCTTGTAAAAGCTGAATTTTTGTCAATCTTGTGCTCTGTATTCACCAGAAAACGTGCCAATAGGTGGGAATTCTGACTGACATTACGACTCCATTACCTAACTCACCACGTTGAACAATGCTCATTCAATAAGGTGACAGTCTGTCTGCTTGTTGAGTGAGTCGTTCTACCCACTCATGATGTGACTGTCTCCACATGAACAGTTAAATTTATAAACGCACATTGGTGAGGTGGGCAAATTCCGTAGCTTATCTTTCACCTGCACATTGAAATGATATAACGAACGAGTGGCGAATTTCAAACACAATGTTGCAGCAGCGAATAATATTTTAGCTATAATATTTTGAACTATCGATCCCGGTAATTCAGTTGCTGCGTCTCCTTTAGACAGTAAACATAGGTATTGTCATCATACTTCGATATAGAAACTAACTCATCTGCAGCCTCTAAGATATGATGACTGACTGCATTTTAATTCTGACTTCTAAGTACCTTCAGAAATGTGTCCATTGACTGGATTTATTTCTAATAATAACTACAAAGTGTTATGACAGTCAGACTCCACCAATACCTCTGACTGGGGAACTATGACACGACACTCACGGAACTAATTACCAAACATTAGGATAATCAGGGAGTCATAATAACCTGTGGAACAATATATTAGGATTATAGTTAATGACTATTATGAACATGATTAAATAATCTAAGTATACACGTAGAAAAATAAAATGTGTTGTAATGGAACAAAATCTCTCATCATCAAATGTGGGGAATCATCATTTATTACCACCCCAATTAAATGTCAAATACTTTGGTGGATATACGGAGTTGAAAAGTATCAGTATTGATCTATTTTTGAGCATGGTTTCATGGAAATGAAATTCACACCAGAGTATTTTCATTATTTCACATTTACAGAGTTAAGTGTCCAGTCTCATTTGCAACTTAAACTTTCAAATAATGAAGTGGTTGCAAAAGTGAAGAAAAACTTTTCAGCATTTCATGGTATCGCTTCTGTGCGATAAGGCCGAGCAACTAGTCTAGTCAAAAATCTGTATTGTTTATCTAAGCTACGTATTTATGTGATACAAAATAGCTTAGCTGTTTCCTCCAGTGTCTCAACTGGATTTCATCTACCAGGTGGTTAAATAAATGTTTGATGCAGGCACCTTGGATCTCCTTAAGCCTGTAAATTCTCGCAAGTGGACACTTAGAAGCAGGGGACGGTATTCCCAAGCTTCTTGAATACTCCTTGCATATTTAAGCATTCTGTGATGGGAAAAGAGATTGATATGAGAAATTTGAGCTTTGCAAGTCGGTCCCAATTAATATGGCAAATTGATAACCTCCAGTAGTGGTTGGCCAGGTAACGTCACTGTAGCAATATAAGTGTATTTTTTTGAACTTGGTAGCGTCATCTTGCTTGAAGGTAAAACTAAATTAATAAAGAGTATACCAAGTGGGACTTACAGGTGATATTAATTTAGAGAGGAGCGAACAAGAAGTTCAATGAAGACAACTTTCTTTTCGGCGATTTCATTCTCAAAAGCATCAGTACAATCGTATTTATATGCATCAGTTTACGTAAATACAATTATTATTATCATTTAATTCCACATAATCACCAAGGTGCAAATTAATGGTGACAATAATTTCCAACTTAATAAGAAAGGTCGAAGTTGTGAATGCAAATTACCAGGGGCTTAGAAAATGGTTGCTTATTTGTAAAAATGGTATTTTATCTTTGAAGAATACAGCTGTGAATGAGATGGACATGGAAATGAGTCGAAACAATATTGAATAGCTTTCAGTAGAATTTATGACATGCATATTCGAATACATTCAAATACTTATGTAGAGGGGCTATGCAAATTACTGAATTCGGAAGTGGAGTAAATTACGAGGAGTTTGATCTACATCAAACCTGAAGAATTTGAACTCAAGAACTCATATGCGATCTGGATACGCCATTACCTACATCACCCTTCCATCCATGTGAAATAAGAAACAAATATTTGTAAAGCAGGATTTGATTAGTCCATCGAAATTCAGTAGACCTCTTCGGCTGAATACGCTACATACACTGACATATATATATATATATATATATATATATATATAATTCAGGGAGACATACTGAGATAGTGGACCAGAGAAGCTCAAAATATACTCCACTTTTTCACTTGATAGTGGTCTTTGACTCTATCTATAGACAGGTCAAATGATATTAGTATAACTGACAAAAAAACTAAAATCCGTTGATCCATAATCTGCCTCAAAGATTCCGGCTAACTCAAACTATTGTGTTACTTCTACTAATTAATTTTAATTTAGATTTAAAAATATATAGTCTATGAGAGATTTAAATCCTCAAATATTTTCTTCACACAGATGACTTCACTCTGTGGAGATTCCTCTGATGATTTAGAGCAAGCAATCAAAAATAATGCAGTCCTGCTGGAATTGGTAGGTTTCAGGGTAAAAATTGGGGACTTCAAACAGAACAGGAAGAAACTTAGAGCATTTACGATGTAATCATGTTGAGAGGAAATGTAGCAAATACCGATTTAGAATTCGTAAAAGACACGAAAGCAGAGGTTTGATACCCACACCTGAAAATTAATATAGACAAAAATTCTGCAGAATCCGCAATCATAATAATTTATCCAAATAGAACAAAACCAATTAATTTGCGATAAAAAGCTAAAAAAAAAATACCAAAGTGATCGATTATTTATGCCAAATTTCAGCTAACCGAAATAACGAGAGTTTCTCAATTGAATCCCTTTTCATGAACTGACATATTCAATAGGGATGATAAAACACCAATAACGGAAATATGGGGACCCTCAAATGACAATGTGTATGGTTTCGGTTTCACGCTTAAAACAATCAACAAGTGCCTTTAAACCGGGATTGAATGAACTCATCAAAATTTGGCAGGAATCTTCAACTGAATGCTCTACATGCAGATATATATATATGTAACGAAAGCGCACAAGAGTCAGGCAATAGATCGTTTGTTGAGGAAATCAACAGATACCTATATATTTTTATGTACATTATTATCCGTTATTATTAGCAGAGAAACGGCATCTTCTGATTGATCGTCTTCTCACTAGATGTTATTCTGTCATCTCTTTGTGGCTGTCTCTCTGAAGGTCAGTCATATCTCTGCTAATTGTTTCTGCCCACGCAAAGTATTTGTTCTTGCTTTTCTCATCACCAAGATTTGAGAAGTAAACATTCACGCAAATCGCTGTCAACTAATTTTCGCTAGCAGAGAGCTCTCACCACCCATATATGTAGATATGTGGAGTACGTAAAAATATGATTGTACACTTTTTGTTAGTTGCAGAAATTACAGACATTGTACATGATTTTTGTTTAAAACGATTCTTGTTAAAATACAAATAACTTTCGTGTACGACTGGAAATACACTTTACTGCTGGGAACTTCGCCTCCTCTCTGGCCATTTCTGCTTACTTGCTCCACTTATACCGTGTTGTATACCTTGGATTTATTGCAGGAGTCTATCATCCTCATCCGAAGACAACTCTACAACCGGTCCACAGCATCTACCAGCAGACGCACTCCAACAGTGAACGCTCCCTTGGATTATATTGATAATTTGTAGCCACGGACTTCAACGTTATAGCCAAGTAACCTTTTCATTAATATAACGTTTTACTGCATTCTTTTATAATATATATTTACCCTATCATCTCATTTACTTGGATTTCTATTTGCATATTTGTAAGGCTAATGAGCTCCACTAATAGTCCCTTAAATATATACACATCAGAAACACATTGGGGATATGTGACTGATGAGTAAGTAGACTGCAATAATCACTCATGCAAAACAACAGGCACGGATGTTTTTGCAGGCTAAATTCAGACAGATGATGTGGAAAGAGTATGAAGGATTAAAGTTTAGATAACGATAGATTTCGATGCAATTAGATCACTTGTGAATGAACAATTGGTTATCAGAGAAAATCTTGAAAATTTCGGAAAATGACAACTGAAATATTATTATCACTATCACCATTATTACTATGATTACTACCGAAGCATACTATAATGCTGAATTAAATCCCGTCAATTCTGAACTAAATATAACATTCTATGGTGAGTAAATTCTGGATCTGTTCTGAAATGGTTTGTTTAGGTTCACAGACTAGAACTCAGTGCTGGTTTTCAATCTGACTGGCACCAACTCAGCACGGTGTTCTTTTTCTAGGCATTTTAAGGAGTAGATCAGAACCTAATGGGTTTGCTTATCAGCGTTGTTCCAGCCCTCACGGCACATATCAGGCACTGACTAGCAGTACTTAAGAACGCAAAGACTGATACTAATTATCATTATCTGTATCCTATGCTAATGCAATTCACTCGGTTTCCAGAAAGAAATCAGTTTTGTAATTGGGAGAATTTTGTATTTTCAATTTATAGTACAATGAACCTTATGAGGTTCATTAATTACATCTCAATATCTTGTTACGGAGCGAGTTAACAGTTGCATCAACAGAAGATATCTTAAATGAGTCGAGAAAAATAACAATGGTGATGGATTTACTCCGAAAAATATTTATATAATGTACAGAATTTTGAAATTCTGAATTCAGAGGGATTTATTGCATGATATTTTCTCTTCGTCTGGGATCTTTAAATAAAAGGCATTAATTGACAGTATATAGTGTGACATAGTTCTGTATCACCCGAGGCACAAACCAACCCATCATTATGATATCTCTCCTTTCCCCCCTTCGAGAAATACACGACATTTTGTTCAATGCCAATTAAGAAAAGTTTAAGAATACATTTTGGCGAACCAAGGACACTACCGAGAAACGGTTATCTCATGCACTGGGATAAACTGTCATCAATGATAATGCTTATTCACATGTTTAGTAGAAACTTGCGAATGATCAGGTTGTAAGTCTTTTCAATACTCGCCAGAGTAAGCAACACTACTAGAGGTCATAATTTAGTAAATTAAAACAAAGTAAACTCAATATCGCTTTACGAGCTAGTGTAGACCAATTTGATTTGCTCGTTCTCAATTCTTGGTTTTGAGGTAAGGGTTCCTGGTCTTTGGTAAACTTCTGGGTAATTCTTCCTGCCACTCGACCGTCGTAGCTCTGGTTGACTTCAGAAGGAGTGCTACTGGGATTAGTTATATGTGGTTCGTAGTATGTGGTGTGTTAAGGCCGAGTTAAGTCCAAAGACGGCCGACAAAAGGAGTGATTAATTAGAGAAACAAACTCTGTGCTGAACAGCTAAATAAATCCGATCTATTCACATTTATGTAACTTCGGTTTAGTGGACTTCATTACTGATTAAAGGATTACAACAACAAGAAACACTTGAACCTGAGTTGTTCTGCCATTAAATAAAATTGGGCTTCACGGATGAATACACGAAATATAGCTCACTGGAGAGCAAACTCGAGTGCGTTCCCATTTCTTTCACTGAGTTTGCCGTCCATGGAACTCTTAACCTGCAAATGCGATTAAGACTCCGTCCAGGGACATTTTAAGTAAAGCGACGCAAGGACTGCGTCTCACTGACCTATCCATTTAAAACCTCAAGCACTATTAATGGGTAAACATCTAAACTTTCGCCTTACCTCACGTAATCTATTGTGATACTCTCCCGACTACTCCAACCACTACGTCACCCACACTACTATTATTGTGGACATATATACATGTATACGTATACATCAATGGAATTTCATTAGCTTTCTGTTTTTACGTTTTCTTTTCTTTTTCCCTTTTTAGACTTAATAAAATTCACAAATTATATTCAACACTATTACGCCTTATTTTTTCCCCCACACCATAGGACTAACGGGTGGAAGGATCAACTGCATTCACAGAAGTAACATGGTCTTAACACACCACATATAACTAATCCCAGTAGCACTCCTTCTGAAGTCAACCAGAGCTACGACGGTCGAGTGGCAGGAAGAATTACCCAGAAGTTTACCAAAGACCAGGAACCCTTACCTCAAAACCAAGAATTGAGAACGAGCAAATCAAATTGGTCTACACTAGCTCGTAAAGCGATATTGAGTTTACTTTGTTTTAATTTACTAAATTATGACCTCTAGTAGTGTTGCTTACTCTGGCGAGTATTGAAAAGACTTACAACCTGATCATTCGCAAGTTTCTACTAAACATGTGAATAAGCATTATCATTGATGACAGTTTATCCCAGTGCATGAGATAACCGTTTCTCGGTAGTGTCCTTGGTTCGCCAAAATGTATTCTTAAACTTTTCTTAATTGGCATTGAACAAAATGTCGTGTATTTCTCGAAGGGGGGAAAGGAGAGATATCATAATGATGGGTTGGTTTGTGCCTCGGGTGATACAGAACTATGTCACACTATATACTGTCAATTAATGCCTTTTATTTAAAGATCCCAGACGAAGAGAAAATATCATGCAATAAATCCCTCTGAATTCAGAATTTCAAAATTCTGTACATTATATAAATATTTTTCGGAGTAAATCCATCACCATTGTTATTTTTCTCGACTCATTTAAGATATCTTCTGTTGATGCAACTGTTAACTCGCTCCGTAACAAGATATTGAGATGTAATTAATGAACCTCATAAGGTTCATTGTACTATAAATTGAAAATACAAAATTCTCCCAATTACAAAACTGATTTCTTTCTGGAAACCGAGTGAATTGCATTAGCATAGGATACAGATAATGATAATTAGTATCAGTCTTTGCGTTCTTAAGTACTGCTAGTCAGTGCCTGATATGTGCCGTGAGGGCTGGAACAACGCTGATAAGCAAACCCATTAGGTTCTGATCTACTCCTTAAAATGCCTAGAAAAAGAACACCGTGCTGAGTTGGTGCCAGTCAGATTGAAAACCAGCACTGAGTTCTAGTCTGTGAACCTAAACAAACCATTTCAGAACAGATCCAGAATTTACTCACCATAGAATGTTATATTTAGTTCAGAATTGACGGGATTTAATTCAGCATTATAGTATGCTTCGGTAGTAATCATAGTAATAATGGTGATAGTGATAATAATATTTCAGTTGTCATTTTCCGAAATTTTCAAGATTTTCTCTGATAACCAATTGTTCATTCACAAGTGATCTAATTGCATCGAAATCTATCGTTATCTAAACTTTAATCCTTCATACTCTTTCCACATCATCTGTCTGAATTTAGCCTGCAAAAACATCCGTGCCTGTTGTTTTGCATGAGTGATTATTGCAGTCTACTTACTCATCAGTCACATATCCCCAATGTGTTTCTGATGTGTATATATTTAAGGGACTATTAGTGGAGCTCATTAGCCTTACAAATATGCAAATAGAAATCCAAGTAAATGAGATGATAGGGTAAATATATATTATAAAAGAATGCAGTAAAACGTGGATGCAGTCCAGGATGCGCAGTTCACCCTCCTATTTGGGACTAGTTGCCAGCTAGCTGAATGTACCTGCAATAAGTCAGTGAGTAGTGGTGTTCCTCCCACTGAGGCTGGGGCCCACTACCCTCCAGTAGTTCCAAACTCCTCCACAGTGTTATGTCCGCTAGACCACTCGGGTTCATGATGTAATCCACCTCATGTCTTGTGCAATGGATATTAGTAATAATTTAATTCAACCATTCGAACTTTCCCGTTGATTGATTGGATGATAGAAGTGCTCGACCTGAGTGGCCCAAGTGGTCTAGTGGACATAATAATTTGGTAAAGTTTGAAACTATGAGTGGATAGGTAGAATTAAAGATGTCTAGGATTGGATGAAGACGAATTCCTGGTTTATGTACTTTGGGCAAACCAAAATAGTCAAGGCGAAATGCCTAAAGGAAAAGATGTAATTGAAAACAACAATATTTTTCACTTATATATGTCTTGTTTGAATTATTGTTGATTTTTTATACTGATGTATGTGTAAAATTCGATCTTTTTTCTGGTTTGTATAAGGAAATGGCAAGTAAGGAAATGAAAGAACTCCGTGAAAAATACACCAAGGAGACGATAGAAGATCATCAAATGGCTGTGACTGGTGGGACTGAAACTGATTTACTACGATGTGGAAAGTGTAAACAGACAAAGTGTACATATAATCAGGTTAGTTATTTCATTAATACAGGGCTTCAATTTAATTTATGCATCACTAATAGTCATTAAATGTGGGAGTAGTGGACATAAGTCGTGGGGTACAGCATGTGGTGATCGGATGCGAGGACTAATATTCACCGTCAATGATACTGGCTGTTTCCAGGTGAAGCGCTATATCGTGCATGAATTAGCAAAAGTTGGAATTCATTAGCTGACCATTGAGAAGTTGGTTCCAAGTGGCTGATAGATGTTCTACGAGCTCGCTCGCCTTGTATAACAGGAAGGTGGTCGTGGGTTCTAATCCTGGTGGTGGAAAGATGCGTACTGCTGAAGCGAAGTCCCAAGAACTAGGTGGACGAAACAGCTGTCTGGCAGTATTCCCAGCTGTTTTACCAATGGTTCTCTTCTAACCGATATCACCAGTTCATGTTGAAATCCTAACTTATTAGTTGTATTTCCTGAAGTTTTGTGTCTAATCAATTTGCCTTTTACTCTTCCCAATGATATAATACATATATTTGTTGTTTAAGTGTTCATGCTTCTTATCCTGCCTTTCTCTTACAGGTCCAAACGCGTAGCGCTGATGAACCAATGACAACGTTTGTTTATTGTAACAATTGTGGACATCGATGGAAGGTAACTAATCACAATATTTATTTAGCATTTTTTGTGTGGGGTTTATCTTCAGTTGTACTGTAAGCTTCCTAAGGGATTGAAAAACTTTTGTATTTAATTCAAATCATATTTTCATATAAAATATTATCATATTGTGACAGCTAAATGGCAGGCTTTCTCAGCTCACCACTACGAAATGACTCATTAACGTAAGTGTAGAACTTGGGGACTGTGGTAGAATTTTTAATCCCATGTTAGATAAGTTTATTTCAAATTACGCACGGTGATGATGCAGTGTTAACTACTGAATAATGACAAGGTTTCAAGCATAAATTATTGCTGCTCATAATCATATCAGTTTAGCCAGACGGCTTCATAATTTGTATTTCTCTATAAACCGACAAAATTAATCTTTGAGCGAGTTGGTGGGTTGGTTGGTTTAATGTTATGGTCTGGTCGAGAAATTAATAGTCCTGACGCGAGAAGGCGGAAATCAGAAGACCACTAGGTTTGCGATGATACTTCTATTTTCCAAACACAAGGAGACGAAAATAAATGGTCTCACACCAAAGTGGTAAGTAAGTAAAGTCACAAGATTGTGAATGCGAAATATATATGAATGTTCCAGACAAGGCGTGGGAAAAAATCATTAGACAGTCTTAACATGAATGGCTAATTATAATGGAGTGTCGATCCAAATAAACATAGCGAATATAGCAGACATGTCAACAACCCCACATATAATATGGATATATGTCACCAAGCAACGGACTGTCAACATACACTCATATTATATATAATATAATATAAGGAGAATATACATTATTAAAGGATACAAGTTCACACAAGTGAAATGGTCACAGACTAAGCGAGCAAATAGAAAGAGAGACCAACATACACACACACATAAATATATATATGTGGATACATATCATTTAAACGGCAACCCAACTAATTTCAGCATCATTGAGAATCCTACTTAAGGTCTCTGATGTACTTTCTTTATCCCGCAGTGTTACAGAGGCTTTGTATTCTATATTATTTTTGTCATTCCCATTCCCAATCATATTTGATTCTATGGTTCTTAATACACTTCTGAGCGAATTCTGGCGGGTAGTTATTCGTCACTAATATTTTCTTAATTAGTTGGATTCCATTATTTAAATCTTCTGATTTACTAGTTAGACAGACCTCTATTACGATTATGTGGATATATTTAACTGAACCAATCTCCCTTTACCGATTTTGGTTGGGATGAATTAGAGTCTTTGAAGTATTTATTAGAGTGTCGGTCTTCTATAAGTGCCAGTATCTTAGCCCACCATCTTGTTTTCGTTTTATTCTATAGTTTAACAAGGCCAATTTACGTTATTCATCTTCTAACTCACAAGTGAATTAGGAAATCGTGTGACTAAATTGATATGATTATGAGTAGCAATAATTTCTGTGCGAAAGCTTGTCATCATCAAGTTTTTAATACTGCACCATCACTGTGTGTGCTGTTATTACAATGACTTCAAGATACAGATAGAAAGTATAGGCAACGCTTTTATAAGATGATGTAAGTAGACGAATTATTCAGTGTTAAAATGAGTAACCATTTATATAGTGATTAGATAAGGCAGTGTAGTTCAGATTCCGCGTGAAAACACAAGGATGGGCTAAAGACAAGGTAGATCAACAAAGTGAATTTATGCACATTATGATGGAGAGTGCATGAGGGTGGAAGTGATTAGTAAAGTGAAGTAAAATTACAAGACAGAGAAAATAATTTAGTAGATTTGGAAACTTGGTCTGTCTGTCTGTTTTCGACATAGAACTTTGCACTGATGTGCGACAGTTCAAGTCGCCACACTCCATGAGCACACAAAGCAAGAGAAGAAGGTAGAAGAAATGCATAATAGAGACAGTAAACAGAGGTGTGAGACAAAGGAATAGTAATAATGAAGAACAATATAGTTTCATTGGAAATCATAAGTCACATGGAAACCTGGTAGTAGGTTCAACTCAGTAAGTGAAAGTCAAAATCGAAATCAAGTGGAATGCTATGCAAGGGAATAAAACACGAAAGCACACGAACAAGACAAGTATGGTTACCAAGGTAGTGAGAGATTAGTCCCACTGTCTTTCTGTATGCATAGGTTGGGTGGAAGTCTTTTTATGGCGATGGCTTGTGTGAACCGAAGTAACCATGCTTTTCTTTGTGTATTGATTATTTCGAGAGCCTGAGTAATTTCCACTTTATGTCTTGTGCCAGTCAATTAGGTGTTGTCTGGCGATTTCACCTGAGAACACTTTTCTGCCTTTCATAGGGGAATTACTTTTAGAAATATGCTCGGAAAATCTAGCAGACGCTCTTTTGCTCTCAGTCCTTCGTGTGTGGTTCTTGCCGAATGTGCAAGTGAATTGGCAAATGCGGTTAGTGTTGACATTAGCATCCTACTTTTGACTGTGTTAGGAAGCATACTGTCTTGTAAAGTGGAGTGAGTCTGGCGATGGAGATGTTCTTTTCAATGCACTTTTAATTCTGTTTCCCGTTCTTGTGGATACTTCTTCCACTTTATATGCTAGACACAAAAACTGGTTTCTTTTCAGGTGTTTCGAGCTCGTATTATGCTGTAAATATTTTCATTCTTTCTTTATTAATACCAGTGGATTTCAGGTTTTACTTATAAAGGCATCGATGATGAGTGGAACTTTGCTTGAATAACTCTCAGATATCTCAGAAATTCACGTATCTCATCTGTAGTAGTTTGAAGACACCGAAAAGAGTTTTCTGAATATGTTATAAAATAGTAGTACGTATTTGTTTGTACGCACTACACTCCGGCGGCGTCGAAAATGTGAGTTCATGATTCTACAGATCTCGGGTTTCGTTGAGTCATGTAGATTTAGGGTGGAATGCTGAAATTAGCGCTAGATAGTTCTTATCACATTAGGGGGAGTGGAACAAGACGTCCTTGCTGGTGGAAAATATGCCTAAGCACAGACATGGAAAAGGAATAAATGTTGGGTTTGCTAACCTTGCATCAACTTTTGTGCTGATGATGAGGCATGTAGTTGTTGTCTGTCGAAGAGAGTTCATAATTGTAGACATGTTTGTGGAAGGTGAAAGACGAATTTCTGGCCATGAGTGTTTTCTATGCACTGTTGTTAATATTTATAGATGGAAGCGGTAAGTAGGTACTTTTAAGACTCATTATTTGATGTTTCATTGTTAGTGCGAGGGCTGGGATATTGCCTGTCTGGGCGTTCAGACGAAAGTCTGTGATTTTCTTTAGGGACCACCCGTGAGCGAGCTTTGACGTGTAGTCTGATCCACAAGACAGCAGCGTCAGGTGACCAATACAGGTGTTCGTATGTCATTCGACCCGATGTGTTTGGATTCTGGAGCCCATGTACCCACACCGTGGTAGTAACTGCTTTTTAAGGCTAACCGCTATCCAATATACAACCTTCATGGTATAGTAGGACCTGTAAGGGCATAAGTGTCCACCTGCGCCCAACCAGTATAGCTTGTTGGCTGACTGCAGTATGCAAGCTCGACCACCACGGGAAGGTAGCGAAGGTATCGGCCGGGTTGCAGACTGAATTTAGTGTGTGTGTGTGTGTTATGGAGGGAAGGAGGGTAGGTGTGTAAGTGAGTGAGAAGTATTTTGTTAGTGGCTCTGCATAGACTTATTTTGGTGTTCTGGTAGGATGTGTGATGTGCACGTTTAGCCAAAGCTTTCCTGAGTGGAGGGGGAGGGAGGGTTGCTGAAGTTGTCGTCGGGTTACGTACTATTGAGGAGAGGGTCAACGGTAGTTAGGCGGTGAGTGAGGTGGAAGGAAGTAGGTCATTGATTGTTGATAGATAACTGGCGGCGGTGGTCATCAATAGAATGTTATGAATAAGTAAGTAGTAGGCGATTTGTAATAATGATGTAAATCGTGAAAGTGATTTCCTTGACTGCCTCACGATGAAGAGTGAGATGCATATATACCCAGGGTCGATTTGATGTCGTGATTTCCGAAAATGTGAAAAGTTATGCAGAAAGTCTTGTAAATCATTTATATTAATATTGTTATTATAATTATTATAAGCGATGAATTGTGGTCAGAATGTCGTCCAGTTAATAGTTAGTGCTGTATGATTGCTTCGTGGAATAAATTATCTTAGCGCCTGTTAACGTGTCGCTCACACTCGGGACGACGGAGGTCAACAGCTGGAATGTCTTTTCGACCCGCTTATCCCTGAAAGCAACTGTACAATCCCCTGTATATACATAAGTCTACATAGAAACAGTTGAGGGAAAACTTAACTGTACAGGTAGTCTAAGGAAGAGAATAACCTTGCTGCGCAGCAACTCTGATGGTAATGATATTATTTTCTAGGCACTCAATTCTTCCAAGTAAGGTGATGGACAAACTTCGTCTTTTGTCCATATCACTGTGTATAAATCAGTCCAGCTGCTCGTACAGAGCTAGGTACATTAGTCGTTCTATGCAGGTCTTGTCGAAGCGTTTTAGCGAACATTATCCAGCTCGACTGCGAAGAGGAGGCACTGGTTCAATCAGTGACTCTCTAATTGAATATATATATATATATATATATATATCCATACTCTTGCTTGTACATTAATGGTGATATAATTCAAAATAAAACTTCGAAATCACTGAACATTCAACGTCTAATTATGTCGTCTGTGTTGGATTTATTCACTAATTAATATGTGCTGGTCCTTTCTGTTACAACATGCATATTCACCTTGTTAAGTCTATTATCTAGTAGCTTATCTAGTATGGAATTCTGATACCACAAGGCCAAAGTCCTATCATTGTCTTATAATATTATTCTCAGTACAAACATATGTTGTTTTTGCTTTGTTTAAATTCTTGAATGGGAATATATATATAAATGCTTGTTTAATTCATCATACACTCTGTGTCATATTTTATATCATGTGTCTTTCTCCTTATCTTTTCATTGGTTTCAGTTTTGTTAACGATTCATTCAATCAATTACTGCTACTTACTACTGTTAAATGCACAACTGTGTCCATCCATCCGTCCGTCCGCCTTACCTTCGGTCAACAAACTAGTTTGGCTCTGCTGCTGTTCATCAAATTTCCAACTTTAAAATATATATACATATATTACTCCCAGACCAGTGCGTTCTGTAGGCCTCTGTGTGTTTCGGTGTTATTGCTGCACACAATCAATCCTCCATCCTCAAATAATAAACTGTGTTCCCGGAAAATTGGTGGCACAAAATCTGTAAAATGTCTACTTTCCCTATATATATATATATAAAGTCACTTGAAACTTGTATATTGGATGTGCTATTGGGTGTTCTTGTTGTGTATTTTTATTATTATAAATCAAAGTGAATCGTTCACAGTGTATTCAATCCTTCAAATAACAGTAACAATAATAATAGTATTAATAATAATATTAATAACAATATTAATAATAATAATATTAATAACAATAATATTAATAATAATAGGGAAACAGAATCTTCCTTTTTGTAATCCTTTGTTAACTGTGAGATGATCCTACGTAGAGGTATGTAAATACCACCATCACCAAGTAAGCTTTCTTTTGTGTGTGTGTATGTGCGCCGTGTATGCCCACCTTCTTGTACTTGTTTCCTCTTCATGATGCTGTTGCTGCTGATGTTTCCCCCATTCGTTTCATTGTGATCCCATCTATCCTGTGTGAAAAACAAAACTCTTCACTGATGAATTTGTTTTTTTCCTACTTTTTAAGAATTTCTTCTGTTTTGGTTTTGCCCTTCCATATAGCAGCTTTGATGAATTGTGTACACAGATGATGCAAAAATATTTCAAAAAAAAAACAACAACAACAAACAAACAAAACAGAAACATCATTATCATCGCCATATTTTAGAGATACTCTTAATATTCAACCTTTTTTTTACTTCTTCAAGAGTCAATCCCTTGAGTAGAGAAATTGTATGTAATTCAGTGTTCTTATATGGATATATAGTGTACTGTTATATAATTGTTATATCTGTGCTTGTTAAATCCCACTATTATGTGTATACAGTTCATGTTCAGGTTGTTGTTTTTATTATTGTTGTTTTATTGTCACATGTATTAAATAAATACATCTTTCGCTTTTGTTACAAGAATGCTGGTCTGTGAAATTGGTAATGAGGACGATTTTTATGATCCAGCCATATCACAACTTTTCTCCATCTTTTGTTGGGGCTCACCATCATTCCGAAAAACCTAGCCAACCAGTCAGCACCTCCGTACGTGGCTGGCTTAAACTAACTAGTTGTTGTTATGAATTCCGCTGACTGATAAAGTCAGTCATGTTTTTTTCGTTTGACCACCACCACGTGATAGCTAGCTAACTCTTTTCCAACCTCATCTATCTCTCATATGTCAACTAAGCTAACATTGACCTGCAATTGGGGAAGGCAATCAAGGGATAGGCAAGGATGAGTTAACACACCTCGTAACCATCTCACTCAATCAATGTAGTCGCTTTACACCCTCGTCTTTTGATTTTCACTCTTCATCTAGCTAGCACTCAACCGATGCCTCATTAATTCAATATTGCTCACCCTATTACACCTACCATCTAACCTAACACGTAATGTAGATAGAACGCAGTATATACGCCTTCTGGTCGATAGTCTGATAATACGTTTACTCTAGAGATAGCGTAAGTTGTAAATTTTCTGTACCTTTGCCAATTTAGTACTGGCAACAGTATGCAGAATTAGATACCATATAGTCAAATGATCTTGGACGACCAAACAACCAATCAGATCGCTGCTCTTCAGCACTACAAATGAATGCTGTTCACATAATGTTCGTTACAGTTTTCGTCCTAACCGTAATCTTCGTTACAAGATTCACTCTCACTGTAATCTGTGTTTGAAGTTCCACTCTTCACTGTTACCTTTTCGTAGTTAGGAGGGATAATGGTTTTTGATACATCGAACGACTAGCATCTATCTAACTCCACATAAGGAAGTGAATTGGTAGATACACATAGAAGTGGTCAAAAGTATCTTGTTTACGTTTAGAGTTGTTGAGGAAAAACGGCCCGCTTGTGAATACCAATCGTAATTTCGCAGCAGAGGGTTTTTTTCAAGGCTTTAGATATTCTCCTCTCTTAAGTGTCGGCCAGGAGGTCGCCTTTGAATGCCATATTCATGTATGGCATTGTCTTGGGCACAGACATAGGGTGTTCTTTTTCGGTTTTGGGTTATTATGTGTTTTTCTAAAATGTATGAGGGATAGCCATTATTATGACTGTTTGTTAGGCCCAGTAATACATATATACAATTGAAATTAAGGTTGTTTATTGTCATATATTGAATCCGTTTTGTATTTCTTACAACAGTGTTGGTTGTTGGAAATCCCTGAATATATATAAAAAGAGGAACTTCCTACAACCGGTTCCTTTTAATTAGTTTGAATAAAGAAAGGATAAACACACATATTTGCAGTTGCAGGATAATACGAGCTTGTTTTATTCTGTAGACTCTCTGTTCAACTGTCCGTACATCCCAAACAAGCTATATAGGGTTACGAAATCTCATATTGATTAATCTCAGAAAATACATCACCACCTTGAGGTCATATCTAGTCAAAATTCAACAGTCTACTGGAAAGTTTCAATTCGGTGTATCGGATAAAGTTTATTCATCACTTAATGCAAAACTTACAATTACAAACGATGAATTCATGTGGAAAGAAACTCAGGAAATCTTAAGTAGGGGTAGAGAAACCACATGGAGAATTTTGCACAGGCCCTCCCCCAAATATATATAAAATTTCTCAGGATTTCATCATGAGCTGACATTAGTTACAGAACCACTGGAAAACCTGGGAGTACTGGACAGATGTTTCGTCCTAGTTTGGGACTCTTCAGCAGTACGCACCCACCGGGATTCAAACCCAGGACCTTCCGGTTACAAGGCGAGCTCGTATACCATTAAGCCACTGGAACCCGATCCAATGGTCCTTGAATTCTAACTTCTGCCAATTCACGACATAGCGCAACCGCTAGCCAATGTCTTCGGCGAGTATTTGTCCTCACACCCGACCAGCTGCACCCTACTGGTCACGACTGCTGCTGAAGGGTGCCAAACTAGGACGAAACATCTGTCCAGTACTCCCAGGTTTTCCAATGGTTCTCTAACTAATTTCAGCTCATGATGAAACCAATCAAATCCCTACAAACCAACACTTGAATACATAAAATTTGTTGGACGTAAAACTAAGCAGAAAGGGAACTGAAGCTCTCTCTTTCTAGGATTCAGATATCTTATAGGAAATTCCTTTACTAGTAGAATTGATACAGAAACACAATTTGAGTATATATACAATCCACTGTGGGATATGAAACCCATTGAACAGGATTAGGAAAATGTTAGGTTTCAGGGGAAAATACTGCAGGAGAGTATCACATCTCCTTCTGTGTGTTGTCGAAGATTTTTACTAAAAAGCATGGACTAGTGTTGAAAAAATCCTGTGAAACAATTATAAGATCGTTATTTTTAAAACATGTAGAGGTTCTGACGTTGCAATAATGAACTGACATGAATACTGCTTCAAAATGGCCACTTCTCAATGATAAGATTCCAAGTCAGGACAGGTCAATCAACGGTACAACCAAACAGACTTCGGAAATAATAATAATAATAGTACTTGTGATACAGAATGGAATTCTGAGCATTTTGCTACAGTATTACATCCAGTTGGTACATTATCAATAAATAAAATTCTACATAGATTAGGGGTAATCTCAGTTAATTTTGACAACATATTAGCATGTCTGTAGCAAAGCCAAAATTGAACAGAATGTTTGAAGGTGTTAGAAAAGTAGATACTAGCATGTTTACTGGCGTAAGCGGTAACACAAAGGTCGAGATATACAGAGTGAAAGAACGAAGAAGAATGTTTTAAGTAGAGTTTGTAAGGAAGAAAGAAACAAAACACCACATAACAAAAAAAGAGAGAAAAGGAAAATAAAGAAAACGTTGTACTCACAAATGATGAGTTGGAAAAACGAGATCCAGTTGTTCTACTGACTATTTAACAAGTTACAGGTATCACGCCTAATGCGTTCTTTATCGAACAGAACACGAGCTAAGTAGGGTATGGTTGAGTTTTGTACTTGCTAGTGCGAGCATATAGTTTCCTGCCTGCCTGATGAGATACAAGGGGAGAGTTGTGAATGAAGAGGGTGGTGTGAGTTAGATAGAATGGATTTAGCCCATTTTTCACATGAGTCTAAGTGCCTGTCAATCAGAATATTAACAACCTGGTTAAACGGCACGTTGCTTACCCTGCTGACAACCTTTAACACCCTACGTAATAAGATATAGTCCTTCTTCAGTAGCCCTGGAAAAACTAAGGGGGTACAAAAGAGAATAATGGGCAGGATGTAAGAGTTAAAGAATCGTAAGAGTAACGGTTGGGTTATTCCAGAATGTCTTAACTTCTCGATGCAAAAGGTAAGACAGAATATTTTCTTAGAAATCATCAAGATATGAAACGACCAGGAAAGTTCAGCCGATAGAATGATGCCAAGATATTCTATTACTGACTTGGTCTGTATTTCAGTGCCATCTGTGTTGCACACCTCGTGAGCGCTAATCAGTTTGGTTAGGTCAGATTTGTGCGTAGAGGTAAAATTGACTGTTTGACATTTAGAGGTATTTAAGGAGGTGAGACCGTTTTCCTTGGACCACTGGCTGATTTCTGATAAAAAACCATTTAGTTTGGAGCAGTCACTTTGACACTCGACAGTCAAAGATACAGTCAGATCGTCAGCATATTTAACAAAATTAGTTTCATTTGAAGATGGTAAGTCATGTAGAGAGAAAGGAAGAAAAGAGAAGTGGGGAGAGTACAGCACCTTGGGGGACACCAACTTCAGTGAGCATAGCAGACGAGGATTTACCTTTATATACAGTGTGCTGCATTCTGTCTGAGAAATAGGAATGCAACCAGTT